AACAGGTACCTGTCTGAGTAATGCAGATGATAGATGATAGATGATAGATGAACAGCAGCACTTAGGCTCCACTGTACGACGGGAGTCACTGTGATATATATTCTCCCAGTGGTACTACGCTAACGATAATAGTAGCTGATGTGAGATGAGAAAAAGGCCGGAGTTTTTTTTACAGCACATACAAGCTTAAGTGGGAGGAAGGAATTTTTAGGTGTGCGTAGGGAACAACGGAAAAGACAGCAAGTGCAACGTCAGTGTTGGCCGTATGGGGTGGGCACTGAATGGGTGGAGGATACATTTGCTCGCTTCCTCATCCTCATTGCTCTCTCTCTCTCTCTCTCTCTCTCTCTCTAAACTCTAGACTCTAGACTACTTGCCTTAGCTTTTGTCCATCTTGGTTCGATTTCCAGGCTGTGGTGTAGGAGGTTTTGATCTTTTGGATCGGTCGGATTCTGGTTTTATGCTCGAGCTTTTTACTGGATCTTGGTGGGTTCGTCGCTTCTCTTGAGACTTTGAAGTGCTTCTGTGTACTTCTTCGGAGGTAAAGTTTTGTTCTTCTCATTTCCACTTGAATTGGTCTGTTGATGGAGTTTTATTCTTGTAGTAACCAAAGGCTTATTTTACTCCTTGTTCTTTTAGCTTCCTGGTTTGGATCTCAAGGTCTGAAGATATTGTTGGTAGCACATAATTCCTGGAGTTCTCTTGTTGCATATAAGGACCACTTCAGTTTTATATGTATATTCTTGTGGGATATCCCTTGTAGATGCATGTCAGGACATGAAGTCCTTGGTGCTGTCTTTTTGAAGATGAGCAAGACATGGATCTGCTCGCTTGCTTTCTTCATACTGATTGGTGTTGTGTCATCAGCCCTAGATAGTGTTTGATCCTTTTCCTCTGGTTCAGAAGTAAGCCAAGAGAGGAGAGGAATGCGCTCAACTGTACTCGGCTGACGATGATACAGAGACCGCAACTGGTGGAAGAGAACATGTCAAATCTTACCTCTGCCTCTGGGGAAGCAAGCGTGATCTCTTCCAACCACCAGTCCTTATTCGCCAGCTCCCCAAACCAGATTAATCCAACGAAGAAAAGGAGGAACCTCCCAGGAAACCCAGGTTTTGTTCGATCAGATCAGGAGTCTTCACCTCTGAATCATTGTTTCTGTTGTTGAGGTGAGGGCCTCTAATTCTTTTGGGGTTTTCTTTCTGCATCTCAGACCCAGATGCTGAGGTAATAGCGTTGTCCCCCACGACACTGATGGCGACCAACAGGTTCGTGTGTGAGATCTGCAACAAAGGGTTCCAGAGGGACCAGAACCTGCAGCTCCACCGGAGAGGCCACAACCTCCCATGGAAGCTGAAGCAAAGAAGCAGCAAGGAGGTGAGGAAGAAGGTGTACATATGCCCAGAGGTGACCTGTGTGCACCACGACCCCTCTAGGGCACTCGGTGACCTCACTGGGATCAAGAAGCACTTCAGCAGGAAGCATGGGGAGAAGAAGTGGAAGTGCGAGAAGTGCTCCAAGAAGTATGCTGTTCAATCCGACTGGAAAGCCCACTCCAAGATCTGCGGCACAAGGGAATACAGATGCGATTGTGGCACCCTATTCTCGAGGTAAGCTGCTCCACTAAACTATTGATCCAATTACAGATGACACAGATCACGATATAAACGAAGAACGCTGCTCGAACCGGGCTCCATTAAAATAACATGGCATGAATCACATCTAGCGTTTATTGAATGGTAGGCATAGCACTTCCACGAAGAGAAACCCACGAGGAAAGGAGATGGAGAATTTTACAGCAAATTATTCCCATGGATTCGGATATCATCCTTGTTTTCACTGATTTCCTTTCTCCTCTCCTTCGTTTCCACTGCGAGTTTCGTATGCTTTACTGAATTATGGCTTCCCAGTCTGCGCGTGCGCTTCTGTGTTTTCTTGTTTGTTACTTCCGCTGCTGCTGCTGCTGAATGCAGGAGGGATAGCTTTATCACACACAGAGCCTTTTGCGACGCATTGGCAGAAGAAAGCGCGAGGGCTATTGCAGCAAACCCTTTAGCGCCCAGTCACCACCCGCTTCTGTTCCCTCAACCTACGGCGGCGTCCTATCAGTCCTCTCCTCTCCAGCAAACACTAGTCCGGAGCCAGTATACTCACCTGATGAGTGCTAATGAGGCCAATGCCAGCATCATCGGTGGCAACGGAATACAGCAAGAGCTCTCGTCGAATCGAGAACGCCAGCATCAACAATTCCCACCATGGCTAGCTTGCCAAGGACCCGCCTCTCTGAACCACTTGGACCTCCTTCCTTCACCTGCCTACTCCTCAAGGTCCGAACAGGAGTGCCCTCGTGAGAACCTAGGTGTCCCCCATCCTCCTGTTCCTCCACCCTTCTTCCAACCCTCGGCTTCCTCTCCTCACATGTCAGCCACTGCATTACTCCAGAAAGCAGCTATGATGGGTGCAACCATGAGCAGACCTTCGCACCTGGGTCTGACGGCACCTCACACTACAAGTTCTGCTGTCGTAGCCAGCAGCACTTCCAGCTTTGGACTTGATTTGTCTTCCCACGAAGACATGGGTGCTGGTGGCTTGGAACAAAGATCAGCACCTCCTCCTCTTATGCAAGACATGGTGATCAAAACGTCCCTCTCCTCAACTCCAGGTTTCGGTGGGTTGTTTGGGGATACAATAGGGGGAATGCTGGGGACAAAGAGAGAACCCAAAAATACCATGGGGAGCTTCGCGAGAAGCCATGGAAAGTCTGAGGAAGGAGGCGGTGGGAACGATGGGATGACCAGAGATTTCTTGGGACTGAAGGCCTTTCCCCACAGGGAGGACATCCTTAACTTGACTGGGTTTGATCCTCGCTTGTGTTCCTCTTCCTCCTACGAGCAGCAACAGCAACAAAGCAAGAAACTGTGGCATGGTTAGCTACTCTGGCAGGTCTGGTATGCTTCTGCTATCTTCTTCTCTTAACTTCTATAGGTAAAAGAAATTGTGTGTTAGCTTCATGTTCTTTGTCCACTACCAAATCGGCTACATATGGTTTCGTAGTAAACTAAAATGATAGAAATACGTTCTTTCTCTAACCAAAAATATTACTGTCCTCCAATTCTTTCTCTTTTTTTTGTCTGTGTGTGGTAGCAGTTTCTTGCAGGTTCCTTAAAATTAGATGGAATACCATTAACTTGGCCAAATGTTCAACCTTCTTACTCACCTTTTATTTCCCTACAAGTACTATAAAATTCTACTATCCAAAATGGTGCCATTTGGTATTATGTTTATTATGCTTAAGCAACAAATTATCATACGATCTTCATAGATTTAATTGAGCAGGATTCACATGATAGATAGCATTTAGATCCTAATCAGGTGCTGCAAGTTTACTGAAGGGTGCGTAAACATGAGATTTCTTTTTCTTTGATCCAAATTTTATATTCATATTTTGTTCCTATATATCATTTATTTCATGCAGATGTGGCAGGCATTCCTTGTATGTGGATCACCAACATTATGACCATGGAGAATGTGCGAACGTAGAGGTTGCAGAAGACGCCAATCAAGCATTACCGAGGTGATGGATGATGGTTGCAACTCGGTTCTTCTTTGTTCATGGCGAATGCTCATTGCAAGCAACATGATAATTAAGCTGTTTCGTTTCTTTGTACGTGCCTAATAATTAAGCTGCTTAGCCAATTCGGTCCTTTAATCGACCTATCTCTACTACACTGTGGAAACGTCACACTTCGATTCTTTGGCTTCCTTTCTTTTCTCTCGTGATGAAGATGAGGTGAAGAGTTTAATAGAAACAGCTCTGTAGAATCGTGTATAATATATTAATGATAGCCCCTTTTCACTTTCAAGCTTCGATCGGGTGGATCTTTCAGAACATGTTTCATCATGCAATGTATAACATGTTAACCTTGATCTTTATTTCGGAACCTAACTAGTCTTTTTTATGGGATCACCAAAGAGATCATTTTGTTACATACATACATATATATATATAATCCTTGCACGCAAAATTTTACATGAAAGATATGTTTATGGAATTATTCATCTATTAGTTTACTCTCCTCGATTTTTGCTGACTACAACAGTTGGTGGTATTTATGATTCCGAATATATTCTGGAGTTAAATTGCAAAGATCGATGAAGTGCATAGCTTTCCATCCTCCATAGAAGCAGTCGAGGGGTGATATACATCAGAGGACGTGTTCTTTATGTGTCACCAGCCTCCAGCGACGAAGACGACAGTACTTAAACCACGCAGACGCACACATGCAGGCACAGAGGGACATAGGCATTAATGGAGGGGTGAAGGGAGGAGGTCAAAGCTTTCACCGAGGATGGCGAGGGAGGGAGAAGGAATCTGTAACTAAGAGGCTACTGTTCCTGTCTTTTTAGAGCTTCTGTCACCTCGACCCGTGCGTGGGCGGTGGTCGTGTTGCTGCTGCTTCCGATGCCGAGGTGTGAAGAAGAATTGCAGCAGCAGGTACCACGAGGCGGTGGAGCACTGCACGCTCTCACCATGCTTTGCTTTCTTGTGAGCTTCTTCTCTTTGACCGAGTCCGTATACAGAGAAAGAGCTGAGCAGGGAGTGTTATCATTTGGGCATGAGTTCAGGTTGTCCTGTAGGTTATGAAGGAACATTTCTCTTTGCAACTTGAATCACATTGAATTAATCATGCTTGGATGTCTGATATAGCTATCCACCTTCTCTCAGCTGAGATGAAAACAAAGAAAAAGCCATTGACATCCATGATTCAGAATTCACGCGCAGTGGTTCGAAATTGCAGCATGGGACTCTGACAACTTTGGCCGTTTCCTGTCGGGGTCTTGTGGGTGAGCATATATTCACGTTTTCTGTAGCCATGTGACCATCACGCATTGTTATCTGCTACATAGTCAAACAAAACACCTTCACAGTCGTGCAACCTTACAATCTCAAGCTTCTCAATTAAGATCGGGCAGAGAAAACAATTTGCATAAGAAGCACCAGCACACACAAAAGCTAGCTGAGACTGCATGAAGCAAAAGCTACCATTGCATTCTTTGTCTTCGAGCTTTTACTAATCCCTAGAAATGTTTGCGGCATGTGAAGAGGCGAAGTACTGCTGCTGTTCCATCTGATATAGCGGTAGTACACACTTCGGCTGTTGTAAAGGAAAATGAATGCAGCTGCCTTCACGCTCCTCACTCATCCATCCGCTGCATCTTCTTCTTCTGTAATCCTTTCGCCTAAAACTTATCTCAATCCCATACATCCTTCTGTGCTCTTTGGCTCTCAGTGGAGGACAAGAAAGAGGATAGGAGAAAGATGGCACAGGCAAAGGCTAAAGCTATGGCTGCGTTGGGTCTATCAACATGACGTGTGTGTGTCCTGTTTCCGTATGCAACCATCATCACGACGAACAGTGAAATCATTCCCATGGCTTTGGTGTTCGTTTGGGATGGGACGTCACGAACCCATGCAAAAAGGTTCTGACATCCACGCATCATCTACTCTCGGCACGGATCTCGATGCACCAATGAGACGGCGACGCTAATGATGCTTTCAGTACCTCATCTTCTTCCGCTTTATGATCACAGTGTAGTCGATGAGAGTTGCTCACAGTTTTCATGTTTCTACACAGTACAAATCCATAAGAAGTATGAGTACGAGTCGGATGAAGCTTCATCAATTTCGCCTGAATATAGCATTATTTATCTGTCGTTCTATTGTACATATGCAATTAGATACCGGAAGTACATTAAATCGAAGAAAGAGTCTCCAGTGAACTGCAAATCCAAGAAATCAAGCAAATCGATATCGACTGCTATTGCTTTCAGGACTTTGAGGAAGCATAACCTGTCAAATCAAAAGGAAAGGGTGTCACTAAAATTGCATACCAAACACTAGTAAAGACACTAATTGGGTTTACCTATTAAAATGGCACATCATAATTGGATTTCTTGAAATCAAGATTTTTAGAAAAAAATCTATGAAAGTTCCTATGGTACTACTTACTACCAACCTGCAAAACAAAGACTAGAAATGTACTCATTACATGAATCAGTATTCATATGAAATACCTGGATAACTAGCCAAACTCATTATGGAATTCATTATCATCATCCTCGTTGGGAATAGCAGTGTACAAATACAAAAGGGTTTTCGATCACCTCCTTGTAATTTAAGCGACCATCTGTTTCTGTATTGGCCTGCAGACTGCCAAGAACTACTATTGTATATTTCAGCACAGCATGAATGACATGAGCTCTAGCAATCAAGCTGGAAATAGTTATAAGTGGATGCATGATTTGCAGAAGATAACTCACGTGAAATGTCATGGCACTGTTGAATATGCTAATGATATGATTGAAAAAGATTTTGTCATAAAATCATGGGATAAAATTGCCCAAAATAAACAGCCAGCAAGTTTCTAGAATTCTCATTCTACCTTCCCATTGCCCAAGTGAAATCTTATTTTAGCTTCCCCATCTTTTCAAGTCACCATTCTACCTATATATATCTGGAAAATTGCAGTAACCACATGGTTTCATGGCATGCATTAAAGCTCAAAAAACCAGATCTTGTATGTTACAAGCATGCCAAGATTCTGCAATTAGAGTTGCTATAATCTTTGTCTCACCATAAAGCAACTCCAACAAGACACACACACTGCGGGGTAGGGAGGAAAACGGGAAAACATCAAAAGAACCTTGCTGAAATGATCAATAGCAGGGGATGAATAGCTCCACCACAAAGAGATTACACTTCAGCAAATAACTTTACAGGAGACAGTAAAGTGCACCACTAGGAATATTTATTTGTGCCCCTCCACGACATAGTTTGGAGGATAACTGAGGAAGTCGATTGCACAAATCTGTGAGGTTTCTAAACAAACAATGGTAAGAGAAACAAACTATGCACCTCATGCTTGCAGAGATACAGATACTCAGCATTGAGGTCCCCTCCCCAACACAACCCTACCCACACAAGACACAAAAAGAAAAAGCTCACCACCTCTTCATTCTCCTAGAACATTATTTCGCATGATGTTTTAAATGATGGTCCTTATCATGCATGTAAATATCTGATAAATTTATATGACTGGCTATCAATCAAACATCAACCTGATGAAGATAGTGCCAAATTCTGAGCTGAAGCAAATTTAGCCAAGAAAGGGAGATAACTTAAAATAAGAAATCACCTTACTGCCCTAAATTTATGTAACTGTGCATTCATCAAAATTTTCCTCCATGTAGGAAGAGTTCAGGGAGGAGACATGATAAAAAAAGTCCATGACAATTATGAAAAATGAGAGCCTTTTGCATTACAGGCCTAAAACTACACCGCTCCAGTGAACCATATGCAGAAAGAAAGGAAGATGAATCTTAACTTTTTACAGACTACCAACTGCAACAGTATAATTAAAAGGAAACAAAAACATCTGAGTTCTATACATGAACAATTACTGTAACAATTGTTGGATCATGAATAATAATTACACTTGCCATTTTTTGGCATTTGTTTTACTAGAATCCTGTACCTGCTTCCAGTAGTCGAAACAGCATACTAGAAAAGAGAATTTTAGTCCTCTTCTTTTAGTCTGAATAAGGATAACTTTTCTGTTCATGAAAAGGAAATGTCTATGATATAAGGGGCATATCAGAGTCAACTATCAATCGTTCTCTTGAACAAGAAATCCACATTATGAGCATTCTTATTTGCAGACATGAAGTAGATAAAAAAATTTCTAAGAATCTAGTCAACAAAGACCTCTGAGATACCACAATCAGCTTGTTGTTTTGCAAAGTAATGCTCTGACAGGTGTAGATCACCAATTACAGGTATCAGCTCATCTTCTGAGAAGTAACTGTAAATAAATAAATAAAATTACAAATAATTTCGGCCCTATATTTACAAAAGCATAGATAAATCCAATGCACATACCCATTGTTGCTGTGGTCGAGTTGTGAGAATAATTTTGTAGCTGGTGCCTCTGCTGAAGTATCAGTTCGTGTAAACTTATAAACATCATCATATCTCTTAATCAAGTCCAATAAGCCATTAAAATATTCTTGAGAATTAAGCTTTCCATCTTTTTCTTTATCTCTTCCCTGAAAAATCAAACTAAAGCATGTTAGCAATAAATATGCCAAATAAATATTTCCCATATGAAACTAAATTACTAACTCGAACCTATAAGATTTTAGTGATTAAATGTGTGACTATCAAGAATGGTCATCAAGCCTTTTCCATCAATGGATACAGAACACAACTTAGTACTGAAACCATCCATGAAATATTTGATAGCAAGGTTCACAAGACTTAAGGTCAGTTAAAATCAATGCCGAATTTAGGTCCAGGATTGGTTTAGATCTACTGGAACTGCAGAATTCAATCATAGATTGCATTAGAAGCCAGACAGGCAAGATCAGTTGAAGTCCTGTCGGAAGCCAGAATTCCTCACTTTAAAATGATTCTGGAGGGTTAAAAGAACATTCATAAAAAAAAAATAGAAGACTAAAGAGAATACTACAACAGAGACAAAGCAAAATAGTTTAAGTGAAAGGCCCTTCCTGTACCTTCTCTGATATTGAAATAATCTTGATTCAAAAAGGAACTTTCCAGGACAACAGTGAGGCCAACGAAAAAAAGAGGAGACTGTTGGTCGATCATGACATTGTACACGCAGAACTCGCTGCAGTCCAGAATAAAGATGGATGGATATCCATAATGAATTAATATAGAATCTATTTCATACTACAGAAGTTAAAGATACCATAAGATAAGGAATATAGATTAGATTCTAAAGGCTTCAAGTAGTCAACTATAATTATTTGGGTTTTTCATATTATGATTGATTGTTCCTACGACAGTCACATCTTTCCTCCATATCCTTCTGCAACTCCCTAGGTCCAGCAACTATTACGTTCCTTCGAGTGCACTGTTGATCCACAGAAAAACAGACTAAAAGCAAAACCAGCACATCTGCATAACCTATTTTTGCATTACAGGCAATAATTACATCAATATTTCCAATATTTCGTTTGCAATTTGGTAATTTTAGCTTCATAGAATACCTATTGTAAAGCACGAATGTCAACAGAGATGGTATAATTTTCCACCCGTGGAAAAAATCGAGAATGAAATTATTGGAATAGATATTTCTATAAATACAGAGATCTATCTTCAAAAGCTAAACTAGAAGAACTCAAGAAATTATTTGTGCTGGATAATCATCTTTGAACTGCCCATATCTCATTATGCAAAAAGTAACATCTGCATAAGAGGATTAAGATTAGCACAAGTGCTTCTACCTTCCTAAGCGTATGCTAGGTTCCATATACAGCTTATCTTCCCAATAAGGCATTAACAGAAAAACAAGCTAGAAGAATGATCAGCAAACAAGAGATAGCTGTACTTAATTAGTGAACTAAGTGTTTGCACCTAATTTCTCCCTTGGACAACCAGTGGATCAGCTTTGGATTGCTGGCGTCTGCTGAATGGAGAAAACTGCAGCCAAAAAATATTTTAAAAGAAGAATGAACCAGTAAAAAGAAATGTCGTACAAGAGGGTAATTGGCAAAATAACAGACTCATTAAACTCTGCAAAATTAAGATGATCATCGCCACCCACCTCAGAAGCATTGAAGTGATCTTCTTTCCACCAACCCACTTTAACATCAGTTGAATTATCATCTGCAAATATATTATGAAAGGACAGCAAAGCAATATATTCAGTTTAGATCTAAAGTCCAGGCCCCATATCTCTATCTATATGCATTACTAAGTTTCTATAACTATATAACAATCAAATGCAAGACGTGACACAGGATTACATGTATGGGTCTTCAGACCTTGTGCCACACAGTGAAGGGATAGTTTGCCCATAAATTTGAGTGTTCAATTATGTTCCTAAAAACTCTTGATTCCTAATGACGATAAAAAAAATAAAAATAAAAAAATAATTTGTCAAAAACTACACAATGGAGGAACCAGATCCTTTTCACTTTGACATTCTTCGCAGGGAAACCATAAACTCAAGATCTAGGCTGCTTACTCTGAAGCTGTAATCCCACCACCTTCAAGGCGCTGGATTGCTCACATGTCTTCTTGAACCACCAGTGCCCAAGGAATCCCAATATCTGAGACTCCACCTAAGCTTAAACAAAAAAAAAAGCCCTCATTGTTTGTCTTTTCGCAACACCAAACAATGAGTTTCCAAACAAAAGGCTTCGGTTCCCAGTCAATATTCCATGAACTACATCCAGAAAGGATATCACATCGCAGGGAACAGGTCAAAGCTAGTTAACAGGGATGACGCTCAGGAAAAGGGAACCAAAACTCGATCTTGACAACGAAGAAATGGGCGCGCTCCCACTGGCGGTCCTCGCGGCGGCGCTTGACGTCAGCGATGACGGCGTCGAAGGGGATGCTGCGACGGTCGTGGCCGGGCGCGGCGAGCGAAGCTTGAGGCGGCGGTAGGGGTGGCTTGGTGCGAAGGAGAGGCGGAGTTCGACGAAGAACACCACGCTCAAGAAGATCAAGATGGGGGATCTCCTCGCTCCCTCTCCTCTTTTCCCTCTGCGGGGTGGCGATCAATCGCGTAAGATACGTGAAAACGGTCTCTAAACTGGGTGCGGCTATTGTGACTCCGTCAGGTAGTCATCACAGGAAATGATTCCGTTCCACTGTGCGGGCCCGGATGAACCTTGACCCGGGCCGGGAAATCTTCAGCGTTCATAGCAAGCTGCGGACCCACTATCAACCATTCGGAAGCGCCCTTACACCGCTTGGTGTCGGGGCACATACAGGTGAGCCAACGTCGTGAACTCGACTAACGCCGCCTCTGCCGACAATGAGCTAATAATGCTTCTCTTTTGGGGTTGAAGTTGTGAATTCTGATCAGGCATCTATGATAAAACTAAAATTTAAATAAAAATATTTTAATATAATTTATACAGACCGAAGGTATTAACTAATTTAACTAGTGAAAATCTTGATGATTAATTACATTATATATAACTACATACTCTAAATATACTTATACTTTAGATTAATTACATTATATATGATTAAACTTAAAAATAGAATTGAGTGCACCAACAAAGTAATATTGGGGAATCTTATGTGGTGGCCGAGGAATCAACACGATTTGATCCAATCCCGAGTGTATACAATCGCCCACACGAAAGCTTGAACAGAATAGCTCGACATTAAGTCAGGTCGAGTCGAAGCTTCATCACTTAGGTGTGGTCTCTCCCTTAATGGGTTGTTGTTTGTTCTCCATTCAGACCCTACACAAATGCCAGAGTTGGGAGAAAAAAATTTCAACTCAGCCCTAAGAAGGTCAAGTCAATGTTAAGTGGGGTTAAGTGGAGCTGAAGTGTTTGAGGTACTTCCCCTGATTGTTGGCTTTTATACTTACGAATAAGGGTTGATCGTACGTGAACGATCGACTCCTCGGGCGATCGACTTGTACCTCTCGTGTAAACATCGACCGACTTGCATGGATCTGTGCCACATAGCGTCATTCCAAACTTTTCAAAGTGACTATACTATGTGATATCGTCTCATACGATGCATGACAATGCGGGAGCATGTGATCGTCCCGTTTGAATCTGAGGTGTCACGTTGTCATAGTGTACTGCATTAACCTCGAGCTTCTTTATTGGCGCTGATGTGGTCACTGACTATTGTCACATGGACAGTATCAGAAAATATCACATCAAGTAAGTAATCATATTATGTTTTTAGTTATAACTGATTAATCATACAATTCTAGACTCCCTTATCTTATTGTTGTTAGTCTAAATAGACTCGATATCTCGTTCTTGTTACTCTACATGTACAACTATCTTCGTCATTTATTTATTTTTTAAATAATACAGAGACCTTTGTAAGCTAAAATTTAAAAAATATGCAGAGACATTTAGAAGCTAAAATTAAAAGTAATAGAGGTTGAAGATCTTATATAATCACTTCTAATGTCCCATTATAAATTCTGTGATTGATTGCAGAAAGCGGGTCTCGTCCGGATCCGAGAACCGGTCCGGTTCAATTAAGCCGTGACGACAACGGCCCGTTACCGCGGCGGCCCTCCTCTAGCTAAGTGTACGCAACGCCACAGTGTACTCGCCATCTTGTAGCCGACGAGCAGCGCTTCGAGCGGGCTCGCTAGGGTTTATATTTACCTCTATCTCCCTATTTTGACCCAAAATCATTCAATCTATTTTCCTCTTCGCGTCGCGCTCTGTCGAGAAATCAAGGCCTTCAAATCTAGGTGCAAATTGGGCTTTCGATCTCCTTCCTCTTGTGTCTGATCGATAGCGGAGAGCTTTAGCTCGTCAATCTTTTACCCTTTGCAGGTCTTGTAGGCGGACGAAGCATTCTCTCGCCCATGGAGTTCGCCGAGGGGAACCCGAAAGGCGTCTGCGGCGAGTACGAGATCGAGGAGGAGGTGGAAGAGGAGGTCGAGGAAGAGATTGAAGAAGAGGTGGAGGAAGAGGAAGAGGAAGAGGAAGAGGAAATGGGAGGCGGAGGAGGTGTTCATGGTCAAGGGGGAGGAGGAGAAGGAGATGTTGAAGGGGATGATGATGGAGATGGGAGCGGAGAGCCTGTCGGAAAGAGGATGGATAATAGCGGCGGTGAGGAAATGAAGCAAGCTGATATCGGTTCTTCTTCGGCAGGGTTAGTACTGAGGCACTTAAGATTTGTGGTGTATTTCTGTTTACAGTAAACTGCGTGATCTCGACTTGTATTACTGGTGCTTGTGGTTTGTCTCTTAAATGGATGATTCTGTTAGTTAAATACAATGCATCTTGTTATTGATTTGTGAAAACAGATGCTAATTGTCTCCTCTTTTTCTTCTCTTTTATCATTTTCTTAGAAAAATCTTTGTTGGTGGCGTTGCTTGGGATACTACAGAGGGTATGTGCTGCTCCTTTATTGAACTCCCTTGTCGTGTTATTCTTTTTAATGTTCGGTGAGGTTTTTAACTCATATTTACTGGCAACTTTCTTATGCTTAAATGGTGAGTGGTTTTGGTGACTTCATTATCTAAGGTGTGCAATTTACTGCCAAACGGTTCATTTAATTGTGGGATAACCTTGGAAAATTCAACTGCTTTGGATGTCACCGCTAGTATGTTCTAAGATTATCTAGTGGAAAGATTTCACAGTTTCCTTATGTTGTATCTTGTTGTAAGTGGTGCTTAAGAAGTTATCTAATGTTCCTTGAGAAATTGTCAATTCTAAACTTGGTTTAGTAGTTGTAATGTGAACATGGACTCAAGAAAATTGTTTGATGAAAATGTCTATTTAAAACATCCATTTGTGATTAAGGGACATACCTCACCTTTGTGCACTTCCCAAATATTTAGATAGCTGGATGAATGATATTGATATGTGAACTACATTTTTAAGGCAGCAACAATAAACCAAACCTAGTTTTGCCAAAGTGTGAAATTCTTTACCAGGGATCTATACAAACTTTTCTTCTGGTAGGAAGGTGACTGATGACAGATAATATTAAGCTTTAGTTTATACAAATTTGAAGAATTCTGCAGTTGACAACTGTGTGCTTGATGAGATATTGTGAGTCCCTTACAGTCATTTCACTTCCTATTGTCCGTACTGCAATCCATTTTATGATTGTGATATTTCATTTTAGAAGATGAGATAAAATATTTGTTCTTAATTCAAGTGTTAAGAAATAAGTTTGACTGTTCACTTTTTGTTTAATATGTCCCTGATGACTAAATCCTATTGCTTAAGCACTATTCACTTCTAATAAGTTACCAGACGATCAATCGCCCATGGAAGTCGTTGAGTTGTTCTTTCCCTAGAACTTTTCATGGCATGTTTGCTAAGGTTTAAAAGACCAGATTTGAAATTGGAACTTTAGGATGATGGATGAGGTTGTATTGGCAGAATTTTGATATTGCTCAATGCCAACAGTGAGTAATAGAACTCATCTGCTACTATTCCAAAAGTTGATAATTTGATTAGCTTAACTAGGTGGCCATTAGATTAATTAATGATGAAGTTGACTAGTTGAATTACATATAGCACCTGATATGAACAGTAAAGTGACAGGGTGTCTTACTATGTGATTTTCAAAAGGTTAATATCTTCATTGAATTTTTAAATAATAACCAATCAAAATAATGTAAATTTTAAGCTCAACATCCGGAAGTAAATTGGAACTTGTGTGGGCAATCACAATCTCTGGTACAACTAAATCTAAACAGTTTCAGTATCGTTTGTCTTGAATGCGAATCTTGCCTATCTCAGTAAACATGAAGAGCGCATATAAAGAAATATGGGCAGTTATCCTTTTATTTAGTTGAGCAACAATAAATTTGTTCATAGTTTATTATTCAATTCACTTTACTAATATATTTTAATTAGTTTTCATTTTCTGTTAGGTGTATGCCAAAGCCTAACACTCCCCACAAAAGGAAGAAAACATGAAAACAGAAAAGAGAAAATGTAATGATTGTTGGTTAATGTGGATTACTCTAATACTGTTGGTAATCCTCTTGACATCCTGCCGCCAACATAGCTGCCATATATTATGATTAAGACAATGATAGATCTTTCAAATTGTCCATGGCTGTATTCCAGTTATAGAGGAAATATTTTGCGCATAAGCCTCCAATGAGTGCCTAGGCATGAGGCACAGTGTGAGGCAAGTTAGGCTCTCCTGGGATGAGGCTAGAAGGTTCACCAAAGTGCAATGTGGGCACACACTTCATGACCCTTCGTTAAAGGCTCATATCCATTTCTTTTGTTGGATCTTATCCCTAATTAGTAAATCTCATCCTTGTTCTTTGTTTCTTAGTGTTAAACTGTTGCCTGTGCCTGCATATTTGCTGCTGCTACACTTCTTTCTTCTTTTGCTCTTTGATGCTCATAATTCTTCCTGGTTTTGTCCCTGTTTTTACTACCATTTGCTTATTTATGTGCCCTCCTTTACTACTTATTTTATGATAGATACTGCCCTTCTTTTATGTTATTTTATGATCATTTCATTGTCTACCATTTCAGCTAACGAATTAAGATTTTATCAGGTGATACTAATTTATTCAATCATGGCCCTCTCCACTCCTTTCAACTTTAGTCTTATTTGTATGCATTTTTGCTTGATGTATGCTTCACTGGACTAACATGTGCAGTCCGTCTTGCACCTCGCTTCTAGGGGCCTTGGTAACTCAGTGATTTTAAGCCTTTGATAATTACATTGCCATGTTACTTTCCTGACATATTGAATAAGTTTGAGCCTAAATATAGAAAGAATATCACTTTCTATAAAGGTCTGGTTTTAAGGAATGAATTGCCCATATTAGTACTACATAGAACATTTTGGACCCTGCATGAAGTTTCCATAGATTATGATAAATCAATGATCTGAAATCTGATTAAGCCATAGAAAATCAATTGTACAAGATTATGCAGGGAGCATATTTGTTTGCTTATTTTTATAGATTATGCATATTAAGTATGTTAAAGAAAATGTTGCAGAGATAAGACAACTCTGTTTTACTTTCTTGAAGCAGAACTATGATGTACTTTTATAAAATAGATATTCTGATGTGTTGCTTTTATCATGTGAAGTAAAATTTCAGGTTTTCACATATTGTCTATCCTCATAAATCCTCCCAGATCTAGAAAAAGGAGTTTTCTTAGCTAGCAGAAATCTAGAGCAAACTTCATGAGAACAAGAGAGACAGGGATCACTTTGGTGCCAAAATCTGAGGATATTGGCTTGACTATTTCTCATAGATGAAAGTGTCATGGAGATCAATTTGGTACCAAAATTTGAGGAGATTGGCTTGATTATTGCATATAAATAAAAGCAGCTTTGGTTAAAGTCCAGGCTCACAGGTCAACATTAGAGTTTAGATGGAAGATTTAGATTCTATAAAAAAATTAGATTGATAAAACCAGATTCTTGAATGAGAAACTCAATGAAATCAAGGAACCAGCAAGAATCTACTGAAGCACTAGTTGAATCAGGGTCCAACTGATAGAAATGATCCATCTTCACTGTTTCCCTAAACCTGACTCAGATTGAGTTAAAGATTTGTAGACCCTGCACACCATGACTAAAGTGGAGGGTTGTCACCCATTACCCTTTGGTTTAAAACCACTGTTATAAGTCAACTAAAAAAAACAATTGTGGAATGTGCCATTGTACTTCAGAAAACAATATATTCAGAGTTACTGTACGTATAACAAGGGTTGCAGGATGGACAAATGGTGTCACACAAAATCTTTTTTGCGGTAAGTTAGATATATCAGATATTGAGAATCAGAGACATGAAATTATTTTTGGCTATTCAGATATGTCCGAATAAAAACTGTAAAAGTATCAACAAGGAAAGTTGAGTTAGGTATGTATTCAAGGAGAGAGAGGAAGAGCAAATATGACTAGTGAAGGTTACAGTTTGAGTGTGGTAAAGTTTTTGATTGTATTTTTTTAACTTGGTTTTTTGGCGCCACTTGATGAGTAAATTTGGCATTGAGATAATCCATGATGTGCATACAGGGTCCCACACAATTTGCTTGCCATGGATTAGCATTTTTAAATTATATGCTTGATCCAGTTCTCTTACAGTTAGTAGCTTTTTTAAAGTCTTTTTTCCTGGTTTATATGTATTAAGTAAATTTCCAATCAGTTTACAAACTATTGTATCGTGGCAGAAACATTCAATGAACATTTCAGCAAGTACGGGGAGATCACTGATTCTGTGATAATGAAGGACAAGAATACACATATGCCAAGAGGGTTTGGGTTTGTGACCTTTGCTGACCCATCTGTTATTGACAAGGTTCTGGAGGATGAGCATGTTATAGATGGGAGAATGGTGGGATTTATCTGAAATCTTTGCTTCATGATTTTCTTTTCTTCAAAGTACCTTCTCTGATTAATTTTTACTGATTGATTCTGCAAATCAATGGCTTGCTTAGGTAGAAGTTAAGAGAACAGTTCCAAGAGAAGATATGCCTTCCAAGGCAGGCAACAGAACAAGAAAAATCTTTGTGGGAGGACTACCCACTTCTCTAACTGAAGGTAGGAACTAGCTTATTAGTTGTGATCATGTGCCCCATCTTGGTAATTAATTTTATGATTAAAAAATTCAGATGAGTTAAAGGAGCACTTCTCCTTGTATGGTGAAGTCGTTGAAAACCAAATAATGCTTGACCATAGCACTGGACGGTCACGTGGATTTGGTTTTGTCACCTTCAAAACTGAGGAAGCTGTTGACAAAATTATTTCAGAAGGTAGAATGCATGATCTTGCAGGGAAACAGGTGAGTTGACCTTAGCCTACTTTTAATCTGGTATAACTTTTAAAATGTTATTCTCTTTCATGGTTCCTCTTTGTTGGTTTGTACTGAATAAGCATTGAAATTGAACTCCTCATGAAATTTAAAAACTGGAAAAGAAAAGATAGGTTTGTTCAGCTAAATATTTGCAGTTTTGTGATTCATGGTGTGCTGAAAGTTAGTTGGAATATCTGTACACATGATGGCAATTCTTTAATAAGAATTCACATCATGAGTCAACTGGTGTTGCATATGAATTTGTTTATTTTCTGTTTATAGTTATAGAACTGGGTGGTCATGCAGCCACTCAGATCTACCTAGAGCTTCATTATAAGTAGTCTTTGGTGCTAGTGTCTAAGCTCATAATTGCAGGTCATATCATTTATTAAACATTTCCAGTTGGCAAACAAAAATCTACGAGATCACAATTACAACATTACAATTTTTTGTAATCGGACTTCTGCAAGGCCACACATTTTTCTGAATATGAAACACATATAAAGTTCCTTTGTTAGTGGCGTGTAATTTGCAATACAGAAGATTCTGTGATTTACCTGGATTCCTGAAGCCTTACAGAGAATAATAAACTGTGTTAATCCTGTGGATTTACCTGTTATTGCTTGTATCTTTCAAGTGTCTGTGATTGGTTTTGCTGGAATCCCAGAGCCCGAGAGACAATAATGGACTGTTCTGTCCCCTGTGGAGTTAGCTGACACTGGTTTAGTATTTCTTTGGCAGCCATATTTACTTTTACTTCTTTCTGGATCTGTTCTGTTAATAGCAAAGTTAAAAAGTGACAGAAAATACCATCCATAATAGAGCAGTTTCCTGACATCAGACATTCTTTTAAAAGACATTACTCTGACTTCATGTAACCGCAGGTTGAGATCAAGAGGGCTGAACCAAAGAGATCAGGTGGCCATTCTGCAGTCAATGGGAGGGCTAGTCATGGTGCTAGTGGCGGAAGTGCACATGGATACCGAGGAAGCTCTTATGGATATGGAGGCAGTCACCGATATGGTGGCAACTACTATGAAGGTGGCACAGGCTATGGTTATGGCAGAGGTTATAACTATGGTGGCGTCCCTGGCTATGGTGCAGGCTATGGATCCAATTACGGTGGGCCTATGTATGGTGGAGGTGGGTATGGTGGTGGTAATCTATACGGTGGCCCAGGTGGATATAGTAATTGGTATGGTGGTTATGGCAGTGGCGGCCGGGGTTACGGGAACAGGTACCACCCCTATGGCAAGTGATATGAGGAGATTATTTCGGTTACTAGTGTAGTCATCATACATGTTGATTTCCCTGACCATTAGCAGATTTCTTTGTCGCGATGGTTTCTTGTCCTTGGAGAACACATGATTGCCAATACATTTTTGCAACCACATATGACCCGAGGGAACAAATATGCATCATCCCCTTTATAATCTTAAGTCTCACCCCTTATTACAAATGCTTGAATGGTCCTTTCCAACTATGATGTAACTTTGACATTGTTGCTATGAATTATTTGTCTTTTTAACTTTCAGGTCACATACTCATTGGTCCCAATGAGTACGCTGCCATAGCAGCGAAGGATTTGTGGAGACCTTGCTATTAACGTCTTTCTTGCGTTGCCATTATTCCGAAGAAGGGATTAGTGGCAGGCGATTGCTTGACATGTTATTGTGGCACAGGATATGCTCTGCATTATACCATCACCATTTCCAAGGTACGTCGGCAATGTGTTACTCCTGTGGATCACCGATCGATGAAACCCCAGCATCCAAAGGATGAGCGCATTTCTTGATGGATGTGGGCGCTGGTGGCTCTCGTGATGCTGCGTGGATCAGCTTGTGGAGTAAAGACTGCAGAGAAAGCTCAAGTCTGTTCGGCATGGGACGGGGGATCGATATCCTCAGAGCGTCTGTCGAAGTACGCGCGATCGGGGCTCGGTCGCACACATGCTCATCATATCGAGACTTGAAGCTGATCCGTCGAGCGAAGGTACTCCGGAGAGGCAGACCGACCCCGCTGCGGTCACCGGCACGACGCCGATCTTATGACGTGTTGTTCCTTCTACAGCCGTACTTTGTGCTTTGGTATCCAGACTTTCTTGAAAGATCTCCCAATTTCTTTCTTCCACGTATGCGTTCGATGGTTTTTATATGTATACTTTGTGAGAGACAACGGACAAAAGCCTCTTCGAATAACATCCTTAATTTCTAATTTCATATTTCCAATGGGAGACGGTAAACAGCAATAAACGCGTCTCTATTTCTTTCGCCTGTCCTTTTTCTTTTCTTTTTCTCTCACTCTCTTTATCCCCGTCTCTCCTTTAACTTGATCGCGGCTCCACCGACGGCCCCGCCATGGGCGCAGCCGCCGATGGCTCCGCCAGCATCCGGACCAATGGCGCCGGAGACGCCCACGGGGCGCTGCCGGAGGGGCACCCGACGAAGTAGGGCACTCCGCAAACGCCGCCACTGGCGTCGATGCTGGCCATGACCGTAGACGCGGAGCTGGAGAACGACGGCCCGCAGCTCTCCTCGTTGCCGTTGATGGTGACGAAGGATGTCTCCTCGTTGTAGGACGGCGTGGAAGGGGAGTGGGCAACGGCGGCGGAGCTCATCTCCTCCTCCAGCCATTTCATCACCTCCGCTACTGCCGCCTCCTCCATCTCCGCTACTTCCTCTGCGTCGAGGATAGTCGAGATAATCTTTACCGCCTTCGCCGCCTCTCCTCCGCCATTTTCGTGGTCCTTCAGCTCCCGACTCGCCGCGTCTTCCTCCATCGCTTCCTCGATCGCAGGAGAGGAAAAGATTTGTAGGGTGGTGGTATATGGTGAGGCTCGTCTGTCTGTTCCAGCGCAGACAGGGACTCGGCGTCGTACGCCAACTTCAACTGACACTGACGTCAGAGAAAGTGCTCCATGACGTCACATCCCGCGTTGCTTTTTGTGAGGAACACCTGTTCCCTGTCTCGGCCTGCATTTGGGTGCGATAAACCTATATCGTAGGGAAGGACGAGGCCAGCACGGAAAGCAAGTGGTGAAACGTAGAATGGTACGACGTGGCAAGTGGAGAGGATATGATCGTGAACAAGTTGTGTCGGGTGTGTGAGACGGGGTTGCCAAAGATGTTGATCGGCCGCTTGCTTCGTGGGTTGGTGTTGAGTCACACGAAATAAGGTGAAACAGTCACTGCACTCAAACACCAAAAACCAATCAATGTCCTTTCGAACTTTTCGACGTGCACCTACTTCGGCATTTATAGGGAAGCGGAAGGAGTGTAACAAATTTGTACTACTTTGGCTAGTTATTTGACTATCTATTTTGTCCTCTTTTTTTTCTCATCATTTGGTTAAATATGATTCAAGATTTATTTTTTTATATTACTTTTGTTAGATTATATAGTTTTATCTAATTAGATAAAATATATTATAAATATAATTAGATTCTGAATGGTTATTGATTAATAAAAAAAAATATTTATGATAGTATTTCTCGAAGATAATCTTGATGAGAATAATTTTCCTAATTACATATTCTATACTCTTAGCTCTTACTTATAAATAAATAGAATCTTGTAAGCACTATATACACAATGTCTGTAAGAGAAGATGAGAATACGTGATATTATTAAAATATTATATATATTTTTTATCTTATATTTATTCTTAATTCATCATTAATAATGGTTTTGTGAATGTGAAAGAAGAAATGAGAAGACAAGTTTAGTTCTTCTCGTAGATCGATATTACTAGCTTTCGAATCAGATGACGATACACCCATAGATTATATAAAAGCTTTTTGAATGATATTAAAAGGTACATATCATAAAGTTGCTCATTATGATTTTTAAATGAGCTCTTTAAAAATTGTCATAACATTAGTGGTGTTGAATCTCGGATTTTGATGATGAAGTCAATTGTCTATTTGTTGTCTAATCTATGTGTTGAG